GGCCTTGAAAAGGTCCCTACCATGACTAAATTCAAAAAATTTAATATCTTTCTTAAATATATGCTCTAAATTGTATAAGCCTCAGGCACTAAAACATTTCAATCTACCTCTAAATATAGTATTAGTATAGATATAAGTCTTTCTTGGTAATTTCAGCACAGACAAGGAAAAAATAAAGTTGGTTTTTCATTCTGAGTGATTCTTGTCAAAAAGAACAAATGTTTCTACACTGACCTTATACTAAAGATGCCCTTAACTCTTTTCCTTCAAGCTTGCCATTTTCCAAAGATACACCAGGAAGTAAGGTGATCAAATCAACATGCTAAGTCCTAGAAGATTAAAATAATATAAAGTACTAGTTGCCATGGAAACCAGTACACCATAAAGCATTTCATGCACAAGCACACAGAGAAATACTTAATTTATGTGACTTTTAATGCAACTGTTGGGTACATTTCCTCTTATTAGCTCCACACCCTCACCTACTCTTTAAGGTTGGCCTTCAGGAATGTAATTCAGTAACATCATCCACTGAGGTCAAGGGGCTACCACAGGTATACACTAGCAACGGTTTTAAAGAAATTACTAGAACTGAATTCCCTCAGGGAAATCAATGTCTGTGCTTGTGGACAAAGCCTTGGGACAGGCATTCAAAACACTGGGAAGCAGCTTCCTGAGTGTCTAATGAGTATTTTGGTTTCTTCTTCCAGAAAAAAAATACACATTTTCATTCTTTTGCATATGATTTCAGAATGTTCTTGGAAATCCATACTTGGCCCTGAAATTTGAGTAATCTCTAATCTTATGGACATCACAATACATTATATGGTATGCTGTATTCATCAGTCATAATGAAGTGATAGCTAACAGCCCGTTACATAAACTGCCCCTTATTGAAGATGAAAGGAATTCTTTCCTTCTAAAGAAGTACCATACAGTTCACAAGCTGACACACACTTATTAGGCATAGCCTACACTTTCAGTTTCACTATTGAGTAATATCTATTTTGTTTTTAACTCTATGAGATTAGTTCCATAAGCTAAGTATGTCAAAAAAAAGTAATTAGAACATCTTGGGTTGACACGAGCCTGGAACCCCGAAACTGCAGGTGTTTGGCCATGGCCCCAGAACCCAGGGCTCTGACATTCGGTCTCATCTCCATTTAACCTATACCATCAGTCACATAAGACACAGGTAGAGGGCATGACTAACAGGCCTCTGCCTCGAGAGATCTACATATTAATAAGGCCAGGGGCCTAAATAATTAAGTTATTCCTCCCTGGTCCCACCTCCTTCCCACCCTTTATATAAGCCAGCTTCCCCCAGACACTTGGGGGCATGCATTCACATCCAGATCCAACCACCATCATGGACAATAAAGCTTTCATTTTGAACTCCATGTGTCTTCTGGGCCGGGGACTTTCTCCTGTATGTGAGAACCTGCCCGCTGTGGTCTGCTGGCTGCCTGCACTGCCGTTTCCCCACGGGCCACCTCCTCTACTGCTCTGAGCCTCCACCCTTGCATGAGTTGTTCCCACATCCTGGCATGGGAAGCTTAAAGAAATCTCAAATGCATACTGGCTGGGTGACTCGAGAGGATGAAGGCTTGCTTAAAACCCAGTCTTTCTCAACACATCTCCAGACATCTGTGCATGGTGAAATCCATCATGATGGTTTTGTGAATGTTGGCAGTGATAAAAGAAACAATTAGTGGCACTATGAACCAAACAAATTAAGTCTATTGTCAAGACTTCAATGACCCCCTCACTGGTCTTTCAATCACCTCCCTAATGTCATGAATGAGCACTGAAGGACCCATATCCTGGAATTACCCAGTGTTCTAACAGGAAGCCTCTGAAAAGGCTTCTCCTTAGTCACAAGAATGCCACAAATGCCACTCTAGCAATTCCTTGGTTTCCATCCCTGTAGCACCCAGGAGATTGAGAAGTGACTCCCAAAATGCACCATTCCACAAGCTCTCATCATCTTTATGCATCACAGAGATATGTAACAAAAACAGGGCGTGGGTGGCCCTTCGAGCTGTGATTTTACATCTACAGTCTTTAACATCAGGAGACTTGTTTGGGGTGTTCTGGAGACTCTGTTATCTTTGGGACAGACTAAGATTAAAGAATGTTCACTGTTGCGCTTTGTATTTATGACTTTACACTCTGCAGTTCATCTTGATGAAGTGAAGATTCCTTCCATTATTAAAATGTGTTTTCCAGGAGGGAAATGTAATTATTCTTTGAGCTTATACACTCACATTTATCTTTATATAAATGAGTACAAACAGCATATTAGTAGCTTCCAAGCAGAACGTCTTCTCCTTCAAAAATACTCTCAAAGCCATTGAAAAGAGAACACCAGAGGCAAAGAATAAAATGTCATAACCACTTGAAGTGAAGAAGAAGAAATGCTCTTTGGCAAAAGAGTACTGAAACCATCCCCCCCCAATATAACAAGAAAAATAAACTTTGTAGGAAAAAATCTAATGTGAAGTAATAGACCTTAGGTAGGAATAATCTTGGCATAGTACACTCAAGGTATGACTGAGAGCCACAGTCGAGACTCTACTGCATTGTTCAAATTGTGTGGGCATGTTCAATGTGTCATGTGATAGCATGGGGGCAGTTGCTGGCATTTCACAAATAAAAGCCAGGGGTGCTAAGTATCTAGTGTTATTCAAAACACTCCCACTCCAAGATGGAATTTTTCAGGCCCAAACACAAACATCCCCTTTGAGTAACCCTGACAACAAGTTGAATGAATGAGAAACTAACAGACTGCAGATCCAGAAACACATTAGACAGGGTTCTGGGGCTGCAGGGAGAATTCAGATTGTTATTAGCATGTGGCAGGCATCACTAAATGACTTTTAAGCAAAGAAGTATTTTCCTAAGTCCTAGGGATGGGGAGTAGGATGTCTTCACAGAGCATTGTGATCTACTTGGGAGTCCTGATTCCTGGAGGGTCCCTTACACACTTGCCCTAAATTAGGCTCTCTGAAATTGCCACTCAGATCTCCAGTGACTACAGTGGAAACTGGAGAACTCAGCTGCTTCCTTACTCTCTTCTTCACTTTCATATGCCATCATGCCCCTAGTCTCTGGGGCTAGTTCTAACTCTTTCAAGAACGTTTCGTGAGTCAGCACAATTCACAAGTGAAGTGAGATCAAGTGAAGCTTCCTGCATTTCCTTGTCTGAAATGTCTCATCCATCCTAACGCTTAGTCACTAGCTGCTAGGTCTCAGGCTGTGACTTTTATTCAAGTGATCACTTCTACCCACACTGAGGGTGTGCAACTGGTAATTGTCCACAGTCCTATTCTACTTATCCTGGATCCTATTTGGTTTCTACCCATACTTTCAGCATCCTACCTACCCCTCAACTCTAAGCCCTCAACAAGTATCCCATTGCTTCCAGGCAGGCTTTCCTAATGCCACCCTGTGCTACCTGGCTACACACCCAACCCTCACTTTGTCATTAGACATGTCTGTATTCATGCTGTGCTCATCTGATGAGTCACCAGAAGGAAGACAGGCTATTGTATCAAGAGGAGTGATTTGAGACCCAAAGATGAGTAGGAATTCTGATACAATAGTTTGCTAGCTGTGGAAATTGTTTCCAGTCTCTTACACCATAGCCTTCAGTTCACAATGTAGTCATGACAACAGTGATGCTGCTGAAGATGATGAGGGTGATGATGATGATGATGAGGAGGAGATTATTTGATTCAGAACTCTGTGATAAGCAATGAGCAGAATGTAGACATTAGAAAAATAGCTATCATTTTATAATTGGCAAATGCCTAATAATGGCAAATGCTGTGTGGCAGGAAACTTGGGACAGTGTCAGTTCAAAATTAGAATGTAAAAGAAGCCAGTTGGCAGAACAGAGCTGCAGCAGTCACCACCTCTACCCCACCCAACCCCTCCAACACAAACACACACACACACACACACACACACCCCAACACCACCACCAAACCAAAACTGACTGACAGGTAACAGTAAAGCATTTAGTGTACAATTGCCAGAGAAAGTCAAGGGTTGGCAAACACCCAAAACGCAGTGGTTCTCAACCTGTGGGACCCGACACCCTGGAAACTGTATATGAGATATTTACATTGCAGTTCATAACTAGCAAAATTACAGTCCTGATGTAGCAACGAAATAATTTTATGGTTAGGGGTCACCACAACTTGAGGTGCTGTATTCAAAGGTTGCTGCATTAAGGAAGGTTGAGAACTACTGCTTTAAAGCCTCACACTCCTCACACACAGCGTCACTGACCATTTAACTTTCCTCTCCGCTTCCCAACCCCTTTGGTAGTGTACTATTTCTTAACAAATCGTTCTGGTTTTTTTCCCTACTCCTATCCAACTCATCACTCCAGGGACATAAGCACCCGGAAATCCTGTTGCATGCACCCAGACCCTGCTATCTGCCTATAACACTTATACTTATCACCAAACATGCGAGTCTATGACTTCACCAACCCGCTTCTGAAACCTCTGCTCCACTCCTGTGTGTGCCTGTGTGTGCACTCTGGGCCTCTGTCATCAAAGGAATGGGCTTCAGGCCAGGATTCTGAACCAAGTCCAGCGACTAAATTAATCAAGGAACAAAAGACTGTGGCCCAGGAAAGGGTGGGTGTAGAGAATGAAGCAGAGGCTCCGAAGCATTCTTGGAATGCTAACAAGGTAGAGTAATAGGGGAGAGGGGGCTGAATGGAGAAGTGAGACAGGAGAGAATAGTAAGAGTGGGAAGGTTGAACAAAGCCAGTCTTATCCTCGGTTATCCGGGCAGCGCTGGGGCTGCCCTCCATGGGAAGCCCTTGCTTCAATTTCTACATTTGCTTTGGCTATAGGGGTCTCTCCCGGTGGGCTACAGGAAATTTCATAAATCACCCTCCCAGCCCTCTCCCTCCTGTGATCTTAACTGGTGTGGAGGAAGGAAAGAGACTCGATAAAATTAGTTCCACTCTACACCACAGCTGCTTTTCTTCATAGAGATTTACTTTTGACAAGTAATTTTTGTTGCTTCCAATTGCTCTGGGCTTTAGCTAGGGGTGCCGGGGGAGGAAAGAACTGAAGAAGGGATTGTTTGGGAGTGTCCTGATGTAGCTTGTGGTAACAGGTGGCCCAGAGAACTGCTGACTTGAAGCTATGCCACAGCTGAGCTGAAGGGCTTGACTAATGCTGACACCTGACAGCTTGGACGAGGAGTAGCTCAGGTACTCCCAGGGAACAGCTGTCTACTTTTTAATTAGGTGAAGAAATGGCAACAAATTTGAAAAACATAAGGCAGAACAGAAAGGAATGATTTACTTCTGTCCCATGTTATTATTATAAACAGTTTGCAAAAACACACTGACCGAATCACTTTTCTCTCTGGAAGCTTTGCTTCAATGCAGCTGGCTGGCCAGTGCTTCTCACAATCTAGGGTTCACCCAGGTCACCTGGGGATGCAGGAAAGGTCCAGATTCTGATGTGGAACGTTTGTGGTGAGCTGAGACGCAGCATAGCAAGCTCCAAGTGACACAAATTCTACGGTGCCAGGAGGAAACAGAACAGCAAGACTGTCAACCACGTGGCACTTCGAAACGCAGGCACTGTACAAACAGTGTCAAGCCGTCAACCGACAGAAATGTTCTATTAGTGGGGGATGAAAGAAAACTACATGCTGATGGGATTTTAAAAGAAATTGAATGACTAAAGAAGTCATTAATATTAATGATTTTAAATTACTCTTGTGACCTCTCAGACTTCTGATCATACACCACGGGCTTAAAAGTACCCATTACAATTATATCATAAATGACTCCGTGTATGAATATTTCAATTTCTGAGACATTTAACTACAGCAAGGTTTTTTTTTTCTTATTCCTTCAACCAACAGGAAAAAAAAAGAGAGAGTCTTTAAATTATTAAATCCTGCAATTTACTCGCAAAGTTGAAGAAAGGCTCTCCCTCCTCCTCTGGTAAAATGTTTAATTCAGTGGCATTATAAGTCAGGAGAAATTAAAGCAAAAGAAAAAAATCATGGAAATGCATTGCACAGAGAAAATGGGATGCAAGGGGGAAAAGCAAGGCTAATTCATCCTGTGTGCCATAACTGATAGAAAAGATGTTCAAGAATACTAAACTGCTGTTTTCTATGCTCCTCATAGCAATTCCAACATCACTTGTACAGAGGAGAAAGTGAAAAGGAGGAACCCTGGGAGCCTGACCCTGGAAAGTCTAAGAGAGGAAGAAAGGGGTAATAGCAGACACTGCCCTGTTCTTCCCTTCAGCTAACATGCAAAAGGGCATGTAAAAAGATGGCCCAAAAGCATGCTCCCATTTCTGGCCCCGTTTCTAACCAATGATTTTAAAAGGTGTCACCACCAGCCTAGGGGTAGAAGGGTAGAGGGGAGAAATGTTTTGGAATGGTGTCAGTCACAGACAGAAGGCTCTAGCCTTTTTGGGTACCCGCAGCTTCTCAGAAGCAGGGACAATAAGTAGACATTCCCATGCACACTATGGTTTGACACTGCTGTTAGCAAGAGAAATACCTACTGTAGAGGAGAAATAGCACAGACACTAGAGGCTGTGGCCAAGGCCAGGGTTGGCATCAAATCCTTTGTGGGTGGATTTGGCAGAGACTCATAGGGTCAAAAACCAGGAAAGCCTGGGTCTTCGGGAAGATTTTTTTGGTGGGAATGAACAGGTCTCCATTTGACCTGAGCAGACAGAGTGAGAAATTAGCGACCGAAGAAGAGACTTTAGTACCAGGACCTGCCTGCGGCCTCTGGAGCCTGCACATAATAAACTGCTGTGACTCTAAGAGCTTCTGTAAGTGTGATTCAGTCATTACTAAACTAGAGTATTTTATTTCCCCTTTCAACAATAAGATAGATGGTGATTCGCAAAAAAAAAAAAAAGAGTCAAATCTTTCAGAGAAAATGACGCTTTAAGTATCAGAGTTTCAGATCTAAATATACCCAAATTCATATTTAAATATAAATTTACAATCCCTGTGTTGAGTTGTTTTATTTATACAGTAGCATAAATGTCTAATTTCATCTTTCTGTATATGGATATCCATTTTTCTAAAGTCCTTTATTAAAAAAAAATACAATCATTTTCACATTGTGTGCTTTTCAAAGATTTATTGGCTGTACTGTGTGAATTTATTTCTCCCTGTCTGTTCTTAGGTCATGCTGTTTTGATCACTATAGTTCTGTAACATATTTTTATGTCCTGATGTAATGGTTTCAGTTTTGTTCTTTCTTTGATGAAGATTGCACTAGTATTTTTTTTTTGAAGTTTCACACAAGTGTGTTTTTCTTTTATTTTTATGAAGAATGCTCTTTCTCTTACAATGGGAATTGTTTTGAATCTATAGATGTTTTATATAGAAAAGTTAAGAGGAACATATTCACAAGCAAAAAAACATCATGACCAAAGGATAGTACATTCTAAATAAGTTGTCAAAGGCGTAGGTTACAAAAGCAAAAATAAAAAGAATAAAATTATATCAGTTAAAAATTGTACAATCGAAGAAACAATCAGCAGACTAAAGAAACAGCCTATGGAATGGGAGAAAATACATGCAAATCAAACATTGTATGTGGGATTAACAGCCATAACATAATATTTTAAACTACTTAATAAAAAATAAATCAAAAGACTTTACTAATAAAGATATGAGTGGATTTTTTATACATGAATGAATGAATAAATTAATGTATGAATGAATGAATGAATAAATAAATAAATAAACAGATACTAAATAAATAAATAAATAAATAAATAGATAGTTACGTGTTTTCCTCTGACCTCCATGTGCTAGGTGCCATGTCATGTGTGCTGGTTAGTTTTTTTGTCAAATTGACAAAAGTTAGTGTTGTCAGGGAAGAGTGACTCTAAACTGAGAAAATGCCTCTATCAGATTGGCCTGTAGGCAAGCCTGAAGTATATTGTCTTGATTTATGACTGATGTGAGAAATTCAAATCCACTGTGGGCAATGGCCCAACCCTTAGCAGGTAGCACTGAATTATACTTAAAAGCAAGCTGAAGCATCTACTGAGAGCCAGCTGGTAACCAGCATTCCACCATGGTGTCTTCTTCAGTCCCTGCCTCCAAGTTCTTGCTCTGCTTGGGAACTTGCCTGACTTCCCTTGACGATGGATTGAGATATGAAGGTCCAAGTTAAATAAACGCCTTCTCTCCCAAGTTGTTTTTGGTCATGGTCTTTACATAGCAATGGAAACCACATTAAGACAGCATGCATGTACCCACATTCAGGCACATGACCATAGCCTGTACAGACAGAGGTGTGTTAAGTAAAGGTGAGCATGTGGAGGTATCACTGTTGGTGTTATAAATTAGCATATCCATTTTAAGACTTTAAGATTAAGAACGTCTTACAATGTTTTCTGATCATATTCACCCCACCCCTCTAAGATCTAGCCCTATGTCCCTCTTCCCCCTGACATCATGCCCTCTTTTTAAATTTTCATTTAGTAACCCATCTATTTGAATTCTTGCTACCCATATTGAAGTATAGTCAACTACCAAGAAACACATCCTTAAAGAAAACTGACTCTCCCAGAAGCCATCAATTGTCCCTAACCTTGAATTTAGGAATGAAGGCTCATGAACTCCTGCCCACTCCATTCCAGAATGTTGACTGACTTGATCTTGTGTATGTCTCGTGAAGGCAACACAGAGGCTTCACTGTCATGAGTGCAGTGGTCCTATGTCAGGAAGACACTGCTCTGTTCGAGTCCTGTCCGGCTCCTGGCTCTTCCAATTTGTTTCACTGTCTTATGAGATGGTTCATTAGCCTTGGATAAGGAGTGTGATATAGGTGTCCCAATCATGACTGAGCACCCCACTGATGTTCACTCTCTGCATGTTGGCCAGTATTGAGTTTCTGAATTAACCTCCATCCATCACATGAGCCGCAAGCTATCACGTTTACTTTCTCCTTACTGACGGTCATCGCTCCTCCCAGCTTTGCCATGTGTGGCCTGATGGTGATGTCTTCATCAACTGTTACGAAAGATCACCACCTTTTTTTTATACAAACATTTATTATACACATACTTACAATCCAGCATATGCACTTGTAGGAACATATATTTAAAAACATGAATACATCTATTCATCAAAATATGTGAAGGTTTTTAGCACTATATTTCCCAATGTCTCTCTTAGGGTTTGATTTTTTTGCATCTCTTACATTCCTGTGTTTAAAGTCCCTTGTGAACCTGAATTTATCAGGAAGTAATGTTGCTGCAGACGGGGAGGATGAAGTCAGGCAGCACTTTGGACCCTAATCCACTATCTTGAAACCAGGCAGAAAGGAAACTTTGGTACCCACAGGCACATGGAGAATAACATGAGGTGATAAAGGCAGAATGAGTGATACGTATACACACCACTGAAAATAGATGTCAAGTACAATGGGGCGCAGGGCACGGGATGGAGGCAAGATTCTCATGATCACCACCTTTTAACATGCAATCGTAGTAGATCCCAGAAGCCTATGCTCGTGGGGTTTAAGACCACTCCAGGGTTTGTACTGATTTGGAAATCTATGTGGTCATGTTTCCTGGATGTATTCAAGAGAAGGACATTTGAAAAGAGACTGCTACAGTCATTGATCTTCTTTCTATCTGACTATAAGTGAGCCATTTTTTCCATTTATATCTTCTGTAAAATGGAACCATGGCTTGTTTGGGAGGGGCTGTTGCACAGATGAACAATACTGTGCATGAGTTGATGTTCACACTAATGAGACTCAAATCAGCAGTATCCAGAGGCCAGGCTGAGATGAGCTTTGCAGTGGCTGCATTTCCACTCACCTTTTCTCAACCCAGTCCTGGTTTCTTAGCTTTTCCCTGGAGATGTTGTGTTATCTGTTTGTGTACATCATCTTGACTGGGCTCAGGGATGCCTGTGACCAGGATTGTGGAAGATAAGGAAAGGAGATCCTTCCTCAAAAGTGTGAGTGAGTGTCTCCCAGTCCACCCAGGTTTGAGGAGAACAACAGTGCAGGGGATTGCTTCTCATTTTGTCTTCCTGAATTAAGACATCCATCTTCCCCTGTCCTAAAATACCTATGCTCTTGGTTTCCAGGCCTTTGGCAAGAGATGAGTTATGCCACCACTTCTCAGGTCTACAATTTGCTGGTGATAGACCATGGGCTGTAATGGCTTCCACAGTTCCATGTGCCAATTCCTCTGATATAATGTCCTCTTCATAAACCTATGTACCTCCTATTGGTTGTGTTTCTTTAGGGATTCCTAAGTAATGCCTAGTTTTGATCCTAACAATTGTCTCTCCTAACATCCCAATCCCTGACTTGAACTCACTTACTGAAGGTTGCATTCGGTTAAACCAAGTTACCACATTCCCCACCAAGAATCACTCATGTCGTTCTCAAGGTTGACACTGTTGCCAACACAAGAATTTGGTAAAATGAACACTCACACCTACTTGACCACTGTTTCTATGCTGCCACTTCATGCCACAGCTGGTGTGATGGCCTTTTCCTGGTCCTCCCTTCCTAACACTGCTCTTCAACATGCCTCCCAGCCAAACACACCCAGGAGAAGTGA